CAGTGACTCTCAAGCTGGTCCTAGTGGCATTAAAAGAAGAAGGGAAGTAACCCCGGAAAAGGACTTGCTACTTCAAGTCCTAATGGAAGGGGATTCCCCTTCTAAACAGTAACAACTTCGACACTCTCCCCTCCTCCCATCCCATCAATCATCACCAGATCTTCATTAAAGGTAAGTGTCAATTATTCTATTGTTATTATTCTATTGTTATTGTAATTATTCTATTGCATTAAACTTAATATTTCATGTGGTAAGATTTTTTTTTCATACTTTTGGGTGTCTTGCACGGATTAATTTGATTTCCATTATTTCTTATGGGGAAAATTAATTTGACTTTCGATATTTTCGACATTCGATAGCTCTCAGGAACGGATTAGTATCGAATGTCGAGGGTCCACTGTACAGTGGAACCCTGAGTTTCGGCTGCCATGACTATCAGCCACTTTGTTTCGACCGCTTTTCTCGGCTAAATTTTGTTCCGAGTTTCAGCCCATGCCCTGTGCTTCGGTCGGCATACCAGACTTGTCCGCCTGCCCACGCCTGCACGCTTCCCCACGCAGGCGTCATGAGCCATTCTAACTTTGTTTATCCTTGAGTGAATGTTATCCGGTGCGCTTATCCGAACATTTCACAATAAATTTATTGTGTTTAGTGCTTGTTTATTGATTGTGAATGTGAAATAAGCCACCATGAGCCCAAAGAAACTTCCTAGTGGCAGTGAGGCAGTGGTGGAGGCAGTGGTTGAGGCAGTGGTTGAGGCAGTGGTTGAGGTAGTGGTGGAGGCAGTGGTGGAGGCAGTGGTGGAGGCAGTGGTGGAGGCAGTGGTGGAAGCAGTGGTGGAGGCAGTGGTGGAGGCAGTGGTGGAAGCAGTGGTGGAAGCAGTGGTGGAGGCAGTGGTGGAGGCAGTGGTGGAGGCAGTGGTGGAGGCAGTGGTGGAGGCTGTGGTGGAGGCAGTGGTGGAGGCAGTGGTGGAGGCAATAATAAGTCCTCCCTCTCTCCTCCTCCCTATCTTCCAGATGCCAACACGAGTCCTCAATAAAGGTATGTAAATGCGATTTTTAAATGTATATTTATGTATTGTATTACTCATTTAATACTATATGTATATTAAACTATAGTTATTCTTTAATCCTTTGAGGGTCGAGAGGCCCTCTCCCAAACTCGTTCTCAGGGTTGAAAATTTTTCGAAAAATAAAAAAATTATTTTTTTTCTTATGAAATGATAAAGAATCTTTTTTCTGATCATAACGACACCAAAAGTATGAAATTTGATGTAAAACTTACGGAATTATGCTCTTGTGAAGTTAGCTGTCTCAAAGTTGGCGATTTCGCCCACTTTGGGCCCTACTTTCGGCCAATTCCAATGTTGCAGATGACTAAAATCATAGCTATTTCCCTAGAAATCCATTTGTTCTATCGATTGAGTCCAAGAATCTGCCCATTTACTGATTTCAACTACCCAGTAAAGTGGTCAGAAATAAGCAATTTGGGCAATTTCACACAAATTTCAAAAGATGCCAATTTCAGAATAGGGTTCAGAATAAACAAGACAGACATTCATGGCACAAAATAACATTTTATCTGTTCATTTTTCATCTCTCTAAGCCCCTCTTACATTACTTTTGCTTTCCATTTTGAGTGTTTATTCTCACATCATTGTAAAAATGGTATAAATGATATCAGCGCACTTACTCTTGAATATCAGACTCGCCAGTTGACGTGTATTGGATGCGTGGCTTGATTTGTTTACTCTTGAATATCAGCAAAAATCGATCATTTTCGCTACTCTGAGCTCAATTTCAAGGTACTTGTCATCGTGAAACCAATCAAAATCATCTCTAATTCTGTAACATATCTTACATTCTATCAAATGAGACCAAGGAAACTAGAATACAACCATAAATACCATACAAAAATTCACTAGAAAGTCGCTGTTTTAAACCAAAAACACAGTCAAAGTTTTTTTTCTCATTATGCACAGCGTGCTTCAGAATTTTTTTATACTGCACACACTGACCACACAGACCCATTCTTTCATATGTAGGCCTGCCAGCATTCTTCTACCAGATTTGAAGGCGCTAGAATTTAGGCGTACAAATACGTGACCGACCCTCAAAGGGTTAAAAATTTTTTTTTTTTGTGAACATTTTTGTGGGTTTGGAATGGATTAATTGTATTTACATTATTTCTTATGGGAAATTTATTTCAACTTTTGGCCGTTTCGAGTTTAGGCCTAGCTCCTGGAACAGATTACGGCCGAAACTCGGGGTTCCACTGTACAAATAAATATAAACATTAGATACCTTTATTGAAGACTCCTGTTGGCATATGAAAGAGGGTGAGGAGGGGAGAGGGAGTTGGGTTATTGTTTGGCAGGGGAATCCCCCTCCATAATGACTTAAGGTAACAAGTCCCTCTCTGGGGTTACTTCCCTCCCTGCATGCTACACTCCCTGCATCCCTTCCACACTCCCTGTTTTCGCTGCTACATTCCCTCCCAGCCTGCTACACTCCCTCCCTCCATGCTATACTCCTTGCCTCCCTGCTACACTCCCTGCCTCCCTGCTACACTCCCTGCCTCCCTCCTACAGCATATATGTAAAGAACTTAGGATAACCCAAAAAAAGTCAGACTACACTCCCTGCTAAACTCCCTTTCGCAACATTAGCCTCCTTGATTTCCCTGCTACACTTCCTGCCTCCCTGCTACACTCCCTCCCTCCATGCTACACTCCTTACCTGTCTGTTACACTCCCTGTTTCCCTGCTAAACTCCCTTTTGCAACATTAGCTTCCTTGATTTCTACTGTCTTTGCCAGGATGGAAGTGATTGTTGATCTGAATTTCCCATACATCCTGGCAAGTTCTAGCACTCAAACACCACTCTCATATTTTTCAATAACTTCTTTCTTAAATTTCTCACTTTCTTTAGCAAAGGGCTAGCACTCTGAACTATCTTTGGGCCCATGGTGGCTCATTTCACAGTTGCACTTAACCCCTTCAGGGTCCAAGGCCCAAATCTGAAGTGGTGCCCCAGTGTCCAAGAATTTAAAAAAAAAAAATTTGTTATTTTTTCTTATGAAATGGTAGATAATCTTTTTGTGAAGGTAATAAAACAAAAAGTACGAAATTTGATGGAAAATGACGAAATTATGCTCTCGCGAATTTTGATGTGTCAGCGATATTTACGAATCGGCAATTTTGCCGACTTTGACTCCCAGTTTAGGCCAATTACATTTTCCAGTCAACCAAATTCTTAGCTATTTCACTAGTATTACTTCTATTCTATCGATTGAGCACAAGAAATTGCCAAGTCAACTGTTTCAACTACAAAATAAAGTGATCGGAAATTGTTAATTTGGCCAATTTAACACAAAGTTCAAAATATTCCAAATTTCAAAATAGGGTCCAGAATAAACAATGTAGGTATTCCTGGCACTAAACTAACATTTCCTCTGTTCATTAGTTATGTTTTGAGGCTTTACAAATAAATTCCATTTTGATTTTTTATTCACATAATGAATTTTTATTCACACCAAAAAATAGAAGATTTACTGTTATGCAATACTGTAATAATTGTATAAATATCATCACCATATTTGTGAATGTACATTAGACCCACCAGCTGGTGTGTATTAGATGTGTGAGGTCGTTTGTTTACTCTTGAATATCGGCAAAAATTTAACATTTCTGCTACTTTGAGCTCAGTTTCAAGCCATTTCCAGTGCTAAAACCAATCAAAATCATTCTATTTCTGTAATATGTCTTCCATTCTATCAAATGAGACCAAGAAATCGCAAATACAACTATAAAAAACATATGAAAAAACACTGCAAAGTCGCTGTTTTAATCGAAAAATCATGATTTCAGTTTTTTTTCTCTCATTATACACAGTGTGCTGCAGGATCTGTTTTATGTGGTGCACACATACCACATAGATGTATTCTTTCATATCTAGGCCCAAATGTACCACTCGCAGTTTATCAGAGTGAGCTGAGCTCATGACGTAGATTTACGGTTTGGACCCTGAACGTAAAGCCGTAGATCTACGGGACGGACCCTGAAAGGGTTAATAAACAAGCACAAAAAAAACGATAGATTTTACAGAAATGTTTGGATGAATGCGCAGAGTATATGCTCATTCACCATGAGACACAGGGAGACTGACTCACCTATGTGCGATGTCCCAGCGGGAGGCGGGCTGATGCGTATAATACGGATGATTTATGAGGCACTGGCCAAAATACAGAGCAAAATTTCCACCCAGAAACTGGCCTAAATTCGAATCAGCCGATAAACGCAGCGGCCAATATTCGGGGTTCCACTATACTTATCTACATACTTTGTTATCTTACTGAGATACAGCTGATTTGTTGAAAAAAAATATAGTACATACATGTATTAGTACTTTTATATTTGTGGAGAAGCACCAAACCCATAAGGATCACACAATGCCAAGGGGATTTACCTGGAGTATACCTGTAGAGTGTTTTGAGTGTCAACATCCTCGCAGCCTAGTCCATGACCAGGCCTCCTGGTGGATCAGGGTTTTATCAACAAGGCTGTTACTGCTGGCTGAATACAAACTGATATATGAACCACAGCCCGGCTAGTCAGAGGGTATACCTGGAGAGTTTTCTGAGGGTCAATGCCCCTGCAGCCTGACCTGTGACCAGGCCTCATGGTGGACCAGGGCCTGATCAACCAGGCTGTTACTGCTAGCCGCAGCAAGTCCAACGTACGATCCACAGCCCGGCTGGTCAGATACTGACTTTAGATGCCTGTCTAGTGGCTGCTTGAAGACAGCCCTTATGCATGCTAGGAGGCAGTTGAACAGTCTTGGGCCCCTCACACTTATTGTGTTGTCTCTTATGCTAGTGGCACCCCTGCTTTTCATTGGGGAGACGTAGCTATAATTTCTTCTTGGATAAAGAAACTTTAAACAGTATCAAGGCACTCCATTTGAAGGGGAATATAAAAGCATAAAAACTTAATATTCTAACCATATTGCAGTTGGGGCAGGGCAGAGGGGCCATGCTTCTCCTTATGCATACAGTACAGTGCATTTTTGACATCTCCATGAACACTGTGTTGCAATACCCATCATCAACGCTCACTACCTCACCTGGAACATTGCAATTTATTGAAGTATAAAAGTCAAAATTCTACAGATGTTACAAATCACAATTAACCTACAATGAAAGCAGCCTTAAGTGACTTATTGGCCCATCCTGGACATTTATCATTCTGTGACCTGATAATGATCCAGGACAAACTGAAATTTTCTCTCAACATTATGGGTTATTTGTAAATTGTACAATTTATTAAATTTAATAATATTAACACCATTCTCAGGAATTATTATGTCCTACAAGGCTGAACAAAATTTTTTAACTAAAAATCTTCTTGGTTGATAATCAAACTACAGTAAAGCCTCATTAAATGACCATTTATTAATGGATTTCAGCAATTTTGGACCAAAAAATTGACTGAATATACAGAAGTATCAGACACAATGGAGAAAAGATCATAATTCCAGATTCTGTCCAAAGCAGTAGTGTCTGGTTGTCTTCTAAAGCATCAGACCAAGCCCAATGACTAACAATTGTCTGGTACAGGCCACTGACCACATCCTGACCTGTCTGTTTTCATTGATCTCTGAACCATAGGCCACTTGTATAAATAGTTCATTTAGCTAACTCTCTTTGTACTTTTAAAAAATCTTACTAAATAATGTCTGGTTCTTAAGTAGTCTTTAAGCATTAGGATTAGTTTGCTTAAATGCACTGTATGCTAGTGGATTTCTTTTGTGCCTAACAATATTTTATTATATGTAAACTACAGTAATTAATAAAGGGGATGTAAATAGCATGCTAAAAATATCTACAAGACAAGACTCGCAACAATGGCTTTAAATTGGAAAAATTCAGATTCAGGAAGGATATAGGAAAGCACTGGTTTGGTAAGAGTTGTGGATGAGTGGAACAAACTCCCGAGTGCTGTCACAGACGCTAAGACGTTGTGTAGTTTTAAAAATAGTTTGGATAAATACACAGTGGGTGTGGGTGGGCACGAGTTGGACCTGACTAGCTTGTGCTACTAGGTCAAATGCTGTGCTCCTCCCTTAAGTGATGTGTCTGATCTCACTAGGTAAAGGCTTAAGCTGGTGGGAGAATTGGACCTGCCTCACATAGGCCAGTAGGCCTGCTGCAGTGTTCCTTCTCTCTTATATTCTTATGTATCTGTGTACAGCAGGCCTGACGTATTCATGGGTCTGGTTTCCATGATTTCAGTTATCCATGGTTTACCCCTGGCCTGAAAATAACCCTTAATTTTGCTTAATATGGCCCCAAAGTGCAAAAGTAGTGAAGGTGGCAATTTGTCAAAGCCTAAGAAAAACTGTGAAGTGCTTCCCATCATTGAAAAAATTTTAATTCTTGACTTACTGTAATTTATTATTTAAACTTATCATAGGTATGCATATAAATGAAAACAGCTTTATAACAGAAATAAAATTATATGAATGTTGTATGGTCTGTGCTCTCTCATGCATTTATTTTTCAGTTTCTTATTTTTCCTAGATTTGTGAGCACTGTGTGCCTTAGTTAACATATAAAGTGCACTGACAATGGTTTCTAGAACAAGTGGTGGTAGTGCCAGGAGGAAACATGAAGTTCTCAGCAGTAAGCAAAAATTTTAACTAATATATATGGTTGGGTCTGGCAACCTGTATGTGAAGTATATGGTGTTAAACAGTTACTAATATCCGCATAAGCAAGGATAAGCTTAAGACTATGTTCTTAAGTTTAGCATAGATGTTTCTATGACTCGGAATAAGTTGTTCTGAGTCAGTACTACTGATCACAGTAGTTTACACCTCATCTCTCCACCACAAAGAGGCAAGTAAAATTACTGTAAATATGTACAGTATTCTCCATGGGAAAGTGGAAAAGAATTCTTCCTCTATAAGCCATACATGTCATAAGAGGAGATTGACATGCCGGGAGCAAAGGGCTAGTAACCCTTTATCTTGTATACGTTATGGACTGAAGTCTAAAAGAGAAACTTTTGTTTTTCTTTTTTGGGCCACCCTGCTTAGGTGGGATACAGCTGTTTTGTTGAAAGATGTACAGTATTATAAAATTGCTATACAGTACAATACAGGTACTCCTCACTTAATGACCTACCTGTTTAAAGATCATGCGGACTTACAACCAGCTCTCTGACCAGTGTTCTACATGAGTATTTTACTTTTTATTGTTTTAATGCCTAATTCTATTTTTAAATACTAAAAATGTTATAAATGGTGCAAAGGTGACATTAAAACAATGTCTAAAGATGGCTGACACAAACCCACTACCGGTACAGTACACCTGAAATATCAGTTAGGGGTGGCTCCTTGCTTAACTACCAATTCGCTTATTGACCTACTCTTAGGAATGGAACTCGGTCATTAAGTGACGAATACCTGTACTGTATTGTAGCAACCACAGATTACAGTACCTGTACCCTCAGTGTCCTGTTGTCCTCTGCATTTGTGGACCAAGTCCAGTAGTTCAGAAAAAAATGGATGATTGTGAAAAATTAATTTCATAATTCGGAAGATTTAGACAATTAGCAATATCTTGCACTCCATTCCTCCTATTAATCCATTTATGAAGGAGCTCACTGTACTGTACCTGATAATGTTAATCAATAAAATAAAGTAATGCATTTCCTCTGCTCATTTATTCACCTTTTCAGTCTCTGCACTCCTAAGTGAGTGCAGAGACTGGAAGATGTGAAATAATGTAGAATATGTATGTTACAGGGAGGTACTACCATCCTGCCAAGTGAGTGTAAAATGGAAGCCTGTAATTGTTTTACATGATGGTAGGATTGCTGGTGTCCTTTTTTCTGTCTCATAAACATGCAAGATTTCAGGTACGTCTTGCTACTTCTACTTACACTTAGGTCACACTACAGATACATGTACAAACATATATATATACACACCCCTCTGGATTTTCTTCTATTTTCTTTCTAGTTCTTGTTCATTTCCTCTTACCTCCATGGAGAAGTGGAACAGAATTCTTCCTCCGTAAGCCATGCGTGTTGTAAGAGGCGACTAAAATGCCGGGAGCAAGGGGCTAGTAACCTCTTCTCCTGTATAGCATATTACTAAATGTAAAAGGAGAAACTTTCGTTTTTCCTTTTGGGCCACCCCGCCTCAGTGGGATACGGCCGGTGTGTTGAAAGAAAGAAAGATGTATATGTTACAACCATTAGTACAATATGTTTAAAAAAAATAAATGGGAGAAGTTTTAGAAAATACTGCAAATGACAAATATACTGTATGTATATGGTGCATCTTATTTGTCAGCAGACAACCATATCTTAGAAAATAAAAGTTTATGAATTATGAAATACTGATACTTTCAGTATGTCTTCATTATATCGTCAGTATATCAGCTACTACCAACATTTCTGTGATCCTTTCTTTATGCAATCACTTTGTCCTAATTCTACATTAGTCCACTGCAATATATAGAAACCCTCCATTTAAAAAACTTTATCTAATGGGGCTTTGGAAATACATAACAAAATCGGCTGGGTCACTATAATAGGAAACAATGGGCAAAGTCTTTTGTTAATTCTTGTTACAATAATGGCAAAACAATCTTACCTCTATCCACCACAAGTGCCATTGTTGGCCACCAGCTCCCTCAATTAGTTCATTATATGGAATGTTTATTCAGTGAATTCTATTGAAATATTTATGCCAATAGTAAATTCCACATACATACCGTTCTAAAAAAATACAAGTATTACTCACTTCTAAATCAACGCATAACACTTTTTTTAACATTTAAATATATACAGTACTTAAATTATATATTACCTGGGTAAATGTCATTTTCAGCAATGAGGTATCTTCCCTGGGATGGTGTGTAGGTTAGTTTAACACTACTGTTCAGTGATGGCATGGTAGGGTTGACCGCTTCTAACTTTGGTGGCTCAGGATTTGTATAAGCAAATGATAAATGAGAGGACTTTAATGATTCTGCTAAGGAATCAAATGGTTTGCCTTTTCTCCCTGACATAACTTTTTGACACTTGGCTTTTGTTTCTAATAATGTTTTATGTGAAATGTTTTTACAGCCAAGTTCCAGAGCATAATTAATATCCCTTGAACATTTTTCATATTGTTTTAGGTCAAAGAGGACAAGAGACCGAGATTCATAACCTTGGGCCAAAGCTCCATACATTTCTCTGTCATGGGTCTTGACATTGTCTGCCAGAATGTCAGGATGAGGTGCAGATAAAATGGCCAAATTATACCATTTTAATGCCTGATCTAGGTCACGAATTTGGTAGGCATTCTCCCCTTTCCTCCAGTTCATTAAAGAAATGCTCTCCGATTTGGTAGGTGGAATTGAAACTGGTGTCAGACATCTCTGAGCTTCTTCTAGATTCCAAATGTAGGAAAACATTTCCTCTGTTGTATATTCTGATGTCATTTTAGTTCTAAGTTCAAGGATCTTGTTGTTTAACAATAACATTCTAATAAATCTCCCAGTTAAGGATTCGAAACTATGTGTACCATCCATAATGATACTTCTGGGGGGGGACATGGACCTGCTCTGCATGGGTCAGTAGGCCTGTTGCAGTGTTCCTTCTTTCTTATGTTCTTATGTCTTTGCACCTTCCAGATGCTAGCCAAAGAAGACCTAAAAAACAAAAACAAAAATGCCGTTAGAGGTCTTTTAGAAAGTAATACAGTACAAACCTAGAATGTAATTCTTTTAGCATTCCTGTGACTGATTTAGGTTTTCTCTTCCTGGTAGCTGATATAGGCTTTCCTATCCTGGTAGCTGATTTAGGTTTTCCTATCCTGGTAGCTGAGGCCAGCTTACCTTTTTGAGTTTCTGTTCAACAAGAAAATAGAAAGCAAATAAGTAAATTAGGTACAATTACACATAAGTAAGATAAGATATAATTTGTTTGGATTTTTAACCTGGGGTAACCACCTAGTATAACCCAAGAAAATCAGCGAGTCATCGAGGACTGTCTGCCTTATTTCTACTGGGGGTTATTAAATCTTGTCTCCCAGGATGCAAGAGGGATATGGGAGGGGAAAGACTGAAGGAGGGAGGAGTAGTGAGAGCGTGATATACTTCGACTAACATCCAGGTATCTACTGCCTGTTAAGTGAACAGGGACAGCAGGTGTAAGGAAACAAGACTGTTGCTACCCATGCCAGGGGTTGAACAACGGACACTTAGTGCGCGAGGCGAGAGCACTGCCAACCAAGCCACAAGACACCATAGATAAGTAACCAACTTGTTATTATTGTGCATTTATAATATAATATATATAGGTATATATGAAATACAGGAGGGCCTCTCTTATACCACATGTTAGGTTCTGAGCTACTGCTGTAAAGTGAATTGTAGCCTTTTTCTCCACTTTCAAATGCATATAAAGGCTAGACAAGATGTTTACACTATCATGTATTAAGTGGGCAATATAGCTAAGCCTAAAAATGTATATACAGTATACACACTACTTACCTTAAAATATTTTTATCCTTAGCTTATTATGAGTGATGAATATATTTATTGTACAAAACCTGAATAAATGAAGAATGGGTATAACTGAAAACAGCAGCATTAGTGAAATGCCATAAAGCAAAGTGCTATTTGTAAAATGGAGCCTTCGTGTATGTACGGTAAGAATATTGCACTGGCACCAACAGAAGAGTACCACATTGCAAGACATGTTGTAGTAGTTTTTTCCAGTTTTCTTCTTTGTGAATAAATACGTATTTCAACAGATTCATATAACTCCAACTAACCTAATAAATAAAGTACGGCCTCTAATGGAAATAAGTCACCTTGTCTGACCTTTTGGGTTGCCCTAGGTAATTTACACATTACAAGGTTTGAAAATGTATTTAAGTTTATATAGCCAGAAGTACACATTAGTACAATTGTGTACCTGTACCTAAATCAACTTACCAACTTGGCAGCCATAAAAACAATTTTATCAAACTGTACTGAGCTGGCAGTATACCCTCTCCAGGTATACTGCCAGCGCAACACTTCCATGTCCAATTTGCACTTACAAAACCCACATTGCAAATGTCTTTTATAATAATAAAAATTAATATCTTTATTTACTACAAGTACAAGGTATACAGGCCTAACTGACATACTATTCGGGCAAATTAGGTTAGTTTTGTCCCAGGATGCGACCCACACCAGTCGACTAACATCCAGGTACTCATTTTAAACTGATGGGTGAACAGGGGCAGCAGGTGTCTTATGGAAACACGTTCCTAATGTTTTCCAGCCGTACCGGAGGAGATTCGAACTCCGGACCTGTGTGTGAGCTGAGTGCGCTAGTGATCGAGCTGTAAGTAAGTAAGTAAGTAAATTTATTCAGGTATACACAAATACAGTTACATAGAATTATCATACATAGCAGCATATGTGTAGAGAACCTAGGATAACCCAAAAAAGTCAGACAGAGTGACTTATTTCCATTGGGGTCCTTTTACCTTATTATTATAATATAAAGGTTATAATATTTTCTTATTATTCTACAATGAATATAACATCTTATTATCATACTAAAAAGACTATCTACTACACGAGGGTCATTAAGACTATCTACAATACGAGGGTCATTACTAGGAATAAGGTAAAATTTACACGTAATTTAGCTAAAAAATAGAAAATCATTCCCCTCCCTTTCTGTAGCTTCATTCATCAGACACTTTTTGGCACTCTTCTTGAACTGGTTCATGCTATGACTGGCTTTGACATGTGCGGGTAGTCTGTTCCATTCCTTTATTGCTACAAAGTTGTGCTCTCTCCCCCTAGTACTATGATTGCTGCGGTTCCCAACCTTGACAAAATTGACAGCAAGATATTCTGGACACTGTTTGTGAGCAATTTTATAAACATGATTTAGCTTCAGTTGTTTTACTCTGTCTTCAACATTCAGCATATCCAACTGCTGTAATTCATCCTGTATATACGAGGGACAAAATTGTCTGCCTAGAAATACTGCATATATAATGAACTTGATAGACAAAACTCCTATTTCTTCAGGATACAATGGATATAAGGACCCTAATGGAAATAGTCATTTTGTTTGACCTTTTTCTTGAGGGTTGGGGGTTTATCCCAGGTAATTTACACAATATATTATGATTTGTGTAATTGTATTTATGTATACGTGTACCTAAAAAAATTTACATGCCAGCGAGGGGGGCTTTTGATCCAAGGAACTGAACTTAAACTCTCTTAGTCATACAAGCCCTGCCACTTCCCCGTGCCCTCTATGACAGCTGCGGGTTTAGCACTTCCCACTGAAAACGAAAATTCAATTTTAAGTACAGTTAACATACAAGATTTTTATCCTTGTTTGCTTCTTCATTTATTTTGGAGAGCATCACGCAAAACTATCATACCATTTTCACACAAATAGGTTAATGATATATATAAATAAAGAGATAACTGACTCTGAAGAAAATTCAGACAAGGGAACTCTTCAACGACGCTAATTGAAGTGAATATCAAAGTTCCGCTGAAAATCAATCACTATGTTCAACAACAACTTCTGCAACATAACACAACAATGTACCAACGAAAGCTAGATCACTGAGAATACAATAAATCATTACCAAACGAGGATGAAAGTCTGGGAAATCGTAAACCAACCTGAAGTGGACGTGTTGTATCTCCCAGACGGTCACCAGCAGGAGGTTACTGTCCCGGGGGGGGATGGGGGGATGTGGGGGTTATGAAGAGAAAACTTGTCTCTCTGTGAAGGTAAACTAACCATTATTTAAGAGAATACTAGTTAAGAGAATACTAGTTATTATTATTATAGTCATGGGGAGCGCTAAACCTGTAGGATTATACAGCGCCTGTGGGGGGAGGAGGGGCTGGAGTTTACCTGGAGTTTACCTGGAGAGAGTTCCGGGGGTCAACGCCCCCGCGGCCCGATCTGTGACCAGACTGGAAGGCATTCAGGCTCAATTCAGGGAACTGGAGTACAGATCCAATTCCCTAGATCAAGAGCCCATCACCAGCTTCAAGGAACCTCCCTTGAGGGGTAGTTAATGTATTACTTGTATACGTTGTTTATTTTGTAAATTACACTGAATGGAAGTCACTTTCTTTGACTTTTTTGGGGGGTTATCCTAGGTAATTTACACTTAAGTTACTTATGTATGATAATTTGTGTAACTGTATTTATGTGTACCCGTACCAAAATAAATTTACTTATTTTTATCAACGCCTCAGCCGTTTCCCACCGAGGGAGTGTGACCAAGAAAGAAAAGAAGCCCCCTGGCGTGGCTTGCAAAGCTCTCGCTTCACACACGGAGGGCCCGGGTTCGATTCCCGGCGGGTAGAAACATTTCGACGCGTTTCCTTACACCTGCTGTCCTGTTCACCTAGCAGCAAATAGGTACCTGGGTGTTAATCGATTGGTGAGGGTCGCATCCTAGGGGACATGATTGAGGACCCCAATGGAAATAAGATAGATAGTCCTCGATGACGTACTGACTTTCTTGGGTTATCCTGGGTGGCTAACCCTCCGGAGTTAAAAATCCGAACAAAATCTTATTTTATCATTATCACTCATTCCATTACTGTCTTTCAGAGGCGTGTTGACACTACAGTTAAAAAATTCCAACATATCAACATCCCTCCTTCAGAGTACAGGCAATGTACCTCTCACCTCCAGGACTCAAATCTGGCTAACCTGTTTCACTGAATCTCTTCATAAAGGTCACCTTGATCACAGTCAGACATCACGGCAAGCTTTAAAAACCAGTTGCCTCCACTCCTATCTAACAACCTATCTATCAAACCTCTCTTATATAATACCTTCTGTTCCCCCCTCCCTCCAGCCTTTCTTAGGGCGACCCGTACACTGCTTTCCCTCCATTACAGATTTATACATCTTCCAAGTCATCCTGTTTCGCTGCATCTTCTCTAAACGCTTATAATCCGGTAAGCCAGTGGCGGGTAATCATATAACTAAGGCCCGAATCAGGAAACACTTGTCTAAGCTTATAAAAACTCATTTACAGGTATGACATAATTTTAGGCTACCAGTTACCATTTTTTCCAGTTACAATTATTGAGATACTCTGGCATTTCCGATTTCCTACCCCTGTTAATAGCTGAGCCTAGCTTGGTTAATTCTGAAGGTGCCATCCTGGGGTGCTGGGAATTCTGGTATGCTTTAAAAGACGATCACCGAACAATACACAAATAACCTGCACATAGGAGAGAGGAGCTTACGACGACCCCACTTTTTTGGGTTATCCTAGGTTCTCTTCACATATGCAAGAACTGATCAATGATATACTTAGTACACCTTATGGGGGAATTAAGCTGCTTCGACCTCCATCAGACACTCACCACTTTAAAAAATGGGTCAGTATCATAATCTTTGGAAACTCCAGGCACCTTTCAAGGCAGGTGAAATTGCTGACCTAGAAAATGTACAGAGAACCTTCACGGCGTGCATAACGGAGATAAAACACCTCAATTACTGGGAGCGCTTGAGGTTCCTAAACCTTATTCCCTGAAGGCGGCGGGAGAGATACATGTTTAAATAAAAACCGGGAAAAATTTCAAAGGGGGGGCTAGTCCCAAAACGGGCACAGAAAATCACCCCACTACGAAAGCAAAAACTTGGCAGACGATGCAACATCCCCCCAAAAAAAAGGCGGGGGTGTCATTTAGCCTTTTAAGAGCCCATAAAATTAAGGTCAGGGGCCCGAGCTGTTCAACTGCCCCCCACCCAACAAAAGGGGGATTACCAACAGACCCCTGGCAGTTTTTCCAAGCGGAAACGGGACAAGCACCTGAAATGGGTTCCTGATAACCCGGGGCTGTGGCTCGTACGTTGGTTTGCGTGCACCCCAGCAGTAACAGCCTGGTTGACCAGGCTCTAAATCCACCAGGAGGCCTGGTCACGGGCCCGGGCCGGGGGGGCGTTAAACCCCCGGAACTCTCTCCGGTAAACCCCGGGTTTATTTCTCTCTCCCAGGGGCCCCATCCCATCGGGACTCTAAGTGAGATATCATCAAGCCAAAAAGGATTTAAAGGAAAATAAAAATTTTTTTGCCATTTGGGGATGGGGCCCTGTCCCCGCCCCCCGAAATTTCGGGGGTGCATGGTTTACTTTTCCCCAAACATCAAAGGAAACCAACCCCCAAAACTAGGTGTTACAAATGCCAGCCTATGGTCATTTTGCAGCGACGGGTTGCAATACTACATTCGGGGTGTGGCAAGTGTGGGGGGGAAACATTCCACTAGAGAATGCAAAATTGGCCCTTTGACACCCAAAAAATTTAAAGTGTTTTAACGAAAAAGAATTTGGGGGTTACAGTTTTCCCCAAAGGGACTGCAGCAAAAAACCCTCAAACAACCTTCGATGAAAAACCTGAAAACAGTCCTTTAATGGAAAATGAGGATGAGGCCATCCAGTCTTCCAAAACCAGATTGAGATAAACCCTCAGCAAAAGTGTGGAAAAACCCCACCTCACTGAAAAGGATTTGGTGAAAACCAGAAGCCATCACACACACCGCTGTGGAGGAGAAAGCCATCCCTGCTAGCATATGTGGAACTACTAAATCTCCCCAATGTGATACCTAGGGCAACCCCAAAAAATTGGGGAGGGTTTTGTCTTTTTCCCCCCAAATACACACAACAAACAACAGCCCAGACGGAAAACTAAAAAAAAGGGGTTTTTAACCCCCCGGGAAACTGGAGACGATTTCAATGCACAGGACCTTTCCCTGAAATGAATGATGAGCAGACTTGCCACAGGCACCATCAAGAACATTTAATGAAACCCAATGTACCTGCAAAGGGGATAGGTTTTTAAAAAAAAAGCATAACTCAGAATCCTCCCCCGGGAGGGGGCATTGGATTCCCCTCCCTTCCTGTTACTATAAAAAATTTTTCCAAAAAAAAAATTTGAGACCCTTGAACAGTCCTGACAAGTTTAATAAATATATGTAACAGGATAGCTTTTGGGAAGCTGGGGGGGGGGGGGATGATGTCAAAAGTGCGCAACCCTCCGTTTAGTTTTCAAGAAATTTTGGGTAAAAAAAAGAACCCATGACTTTTGGTTTAAAAGATTTTTCCCTTTTTAAACGGGCTGCCAAGAGGGCCAAAAAAAATGCTTAAAATAAAGGCCGGAGAAAAGACGTAAAAACTATGCAAATTTGCTCTTAATGCCTGCACACTGTAGCCAAAGCAAAAATTATTTTTTCCATCTTATGGGGCAAGAGATTGAAATAACTCATACAATCGATACTTTACAAATCTTTTCATGGAACATTGCTTCCTTTTCAGGAAGCATTTCCCCTAAATTAAATCATATTAGTGCAACCAAAAACTTTGATGCCATCTGTTTGCAGGAATTTTGGATTAAAGATGGAGCACCTCCACCAAAGTTGCCTAAAAATCAGCTTAAACCTAAGGTCAACCAACTTTTGTGTGATGTATGTCAAAAAAAAAACTTTCCACTTTAACCCCCTTTCCTTGCAGAGTCGAGTTAAAAAGGGCCGTATCATGGGGGGTTCAAAGTAAATGCAGGCGATTTTTTTTTTTAAAAAAAATTTTTTAACCCTCTATCCCCGCAAACCATTTTTTCGACCTGATGTTTTAAACCAATCCCCATCAGTGGGGAAACCCTACCCTCATTTTTTGGAGTTTTTAATCCCCGACATAAAAAATTTTGGGTGGGCCCTATAACAAACCCCAATGGAACAAAAAACTATGAAATTGCAAAATGAGCATCCCCAATGTTCGAATTGGGGGAAACTACTGGCCCCCTCACATAAAAGGGTGCTATTTTGATCTGTCCCTTTGGATTTAATACATCATATGTTTTTAAAAATGACTCTCCCAGTTATGTCTTCTATCTGATCATTCCCCAAGACTAACAACTTTTCCCCAACTTGATCACACTCCCGCACTCAAGGGCTAAATAGAGAAGGAGGAAACTTTATTCTCAAACCGAAAACAGAAAACAACTTTTTTTAAACCCCTTGGGTCAATGGTTAAGAATTACAGCCCATTTTCACGCAAAAATTTTAAAGATGAAATTTTGTTACCACTAATTAGAGTGTCCTCACAGTTTAAGTGGGCAAAGGGAAAAGGGAAAAAAGACCCTCCACTAAAAATAACAGTAAAAACCAAAAGTAAATTCCCATTAAAGATCCACAGCTACCAAATTTAAAAACATGCACCTAGGAGGAATTGGGGAAAGCTACCGTGGGAAAGTAAACCCCAGACCTGTCGAACGTTTCCAAACTGCATAACAAAAAGCAAGGAATAGAAAGCAAAAACTTAGGGAAAAGGAAGGGGGAAAAGTTTGTTAGTGGGTTAAACAGGTTTCCCCCCCTTTAAGTTTTTGGCTTGGAAAGGTATAAATTTAAAAAAGCCGGAAAAAGACTGGCAGTGTTTCTCATTTCCCCTTTTCCCCTTTAAAAAGCAAATGACCTCATAAATGACTGGGCCAAAAAATCCCGGCAAAGAAAACCTTTTCCCTTCAATTTGAAAAAACTAGGAGTACTTCTGAAGAAAAGTTGAAAATGATTAATTTTTTTGACCAAAATATTGAGGGGGTGAGCCCCCTTTCACCGAGTTTGAATTGATAATGCATTAACAAAAGGTTTGATCAACTGCTCCCGGAGAGGATTATAACCCATGATTTTTTCAGACTCTAAGGCTCTTTCCCGATAACCCTTTTTTGG